TTTTTTTCACACACGTGAAAAAACGATAAGGGAGACGCGATATCTAACTCCAGTTCAGACTTCGCTTGACATTTAAACGCTGGAACTCGGTTAAGAAAGCATAAAACAGAGAAGAAGGCCTATCTATAATAAAGTGTCGTACGTACGTGTTACTTTTTTGACGTTGAGCTGAGTTGAGGAGAGTCGAACGAACGTTTCTGAGGATGCTATTTGCTTCGATACAAGACAGTACGTACGTAATTACCGACATTTCCGTTTTAATCGAAACGCGCACAACTGCCGGTAGTGATACGCTTCATGCATTTCCTTCCTGCGATTCTAACATTTATTATCGTTAATAGTCGCTCCAACTGCATTCGATTCTCGTTTATTAAATTCGTTCAAAACAGAGCCCAGAGGTTTGATATTGCTGTTCGTGATCTTAAAGATCATCGAATTAAACGAAAGTGAAAATAGACATGAAAGTCAGACTATCGATTTAACGTGGAACGTGAAAACGAATGAAAAGAATGCATCGTGTCCCGTCGTTCGGTGGTTGTTGGGTGTGTCACGTTGCACAGGACTTTGGAAACGAATCTACTTGTTGGAGTGAATTTCTCTTCCTCTCTCTTTCTCTCTATATCTATATCTATATCTATCTATCCGTATACCTATCTCTTTCTCTGTTTCGTTTACTGACACACACGCTCGCTCGCGCTCGTATTCTCCTTTGCTCTTTCGCACTCTTGTTCTCTTTCGTGCATGCGCACGTGTCACCGCTTTCGCGATCGTTATTACGAACTTACGGAAACCAACCTTTTTTTTCAAGCGATACGCGGCCACAATGACCCTGAATATCGGCAGATCATCCTGCGTTCATGCTATCGCACTGGAATCTACTCCGAAATCTTTCTCTCGCGTTGCTGAATTGGATCAGGTTTACTTTCTCAAGTGCTTACCCGTAACGCGGCACTGCGGTCTACTAGAATGCAAAGAATAAAGAATAGATGATTTTCTTTGATGCACCGGCTATCGTACAACATACATCGACCGATATTGATAAGCGTGAACGAAGGTTAAAGAGAGTGGACGGAATGAACTCTCAACGATCGCGACGTACCCCAATGCACTCGACCGCCTTCGTTCGTCTACTAACCCAACCACCGAGATGATAGCGCCGATGCCGATACTGGCACCGACGCCAACGCCGACGCCGACGCCGACGCGGCCGTTGCCGTACACGCCGCTAGGGAAACACTTGCAACGATAAAGACAAACTGTCGGGAAGGAAGAAAAACTGATAAGAAAAAAAAAAAAAAAAAGAAAAAAGAAATGTAATGCTCAGAAATATATGTGAAATTCGAGATGAAATGTGCAACGAGCAAAATAATCGAGAAATAAAGAAAGAAAATAACAACGAAGTTATATGTAACGAAGTGTTACCATTACGCGTTTTCTTCGATAAAGAAAAAAAAAAAACCTAGAAAATGAAAGCAAATGTGAATGTAAAAATGATCCAATACATTTTAAAATTCAAAAATTCTGAAGTGATGGAAAGGAAAAGGGGAATATTTTTACGAAAATAACTGGATGAAGTAAGCCGAGAAACGATGAGAAGGAAGTGTTAAACTACGTTGAGTCGGAGAACGAGAGAACGAAATGGAGAATGGGGTGTGTCGAAGAAGGGGTTTAAAAAGAGAGGTGGAGAGAAAGTAAGAAAGATGGGCTCTAGGCAGAAACGAAGTGGCAGTGGGCCATCGATTGGATGCGCGCGATTGTCAATGTTGCTCGTCATCCGACGTTACTACTGTCTTCTTCTCTTCTTCTTATATCGATGTATACTTTATACTTTCTCGAACAGTACACTTTCCTCTTCGTTCCGTCTGTTCGGTAACATTTTATAATTCTAGTCTCGCATTCGATTTCTTACATTGTCGACTTATCAATTACTGGATCAGATTATTGACGTGTATGAACCGATAGTTCCTGATTTGCTTCTCATCGTTGAAAACCAAACGTTCAGACGCAATTGTAATAAAAAATTATTCTGATCGACCACTTGCTAACGAGCAACTCACTTGTGCTCGATGTTTTAGGTCAAGTGGTTTCTCTCTGAAATCTAGTATCTAGAATCCAGGTTCTTAAAAATGTGCTAATCTTAAATAAAAACACATTCGCATAAAATGTTTCTACTGCAAACTCGTTTTTCAATCGATCCTTATTGTTAACCGCGCGTTGGATTAAAAATGTACCTAAGAAAATATTATATCATTCAGATAAGATGCCAATGATTATGAGTAATATATATTTATCAAAAGATATGTACTTATTAGTATATGATACATAAAGATATTCGTGATTCGTTCCTGCTCCTGGTAAGGACATGCATGCATGATTACACACATATGCACATGTCGATCGATATTTAATCAAGTAAATTAGAAATATTACAACAACTTAGCCATAACGGAACAATTCTGCCGTGATGGTCTCGTTATTAATTTTGCTAGTCCAGTAAACATGAAAACATTCGTGACCTAGAACGAGGTTACGCCATTTGCCTTCTCAGAGTTAGCACATTCACTTGAAATTCTGGCACTCTGCCAACTACGGGAAAATAGGTTATCGATTAATCGCTCGTATTTTACACCAGCTGCAATTTCAAATTCGTGAAAGAGACATTTCAAAATATTTTCGTATCTGTTACATTCGTATTCTGTCTTTGAATTTCATTCTTTCTCTTTTCTTTTTTCATTTCTTATTTTTTTTTTTTTTTTTTTTTTTTTTTAGTTCATTAATTTCGCTTTTCGTTCCGCATTTTTACCTTACAATGATGTCCTATTATCTCGCAATATTATGGTTACCTTTCTTCCTTCGATCGGTGCGATTACATCTAACCTTCGAATTATAAATTTCTCAAATTTACCACATCGTAGCCAACAAATTGAAAATCAATAATCGCAAGATTGCTATTTGATTCATTAATCATTTTCCCGCTTTTCACGAAACGAACGATCGAATGAAAATACAGAAGGGGCAACAGCGACATCTTGAAGAGAGAAATAGAAATGCGACTATTATCGATAGTTTTCTCTCCGCCATTCGAGAGATACAGTTGGATCGAAAACACGTGTGAAACGAGTATCGTGATTTTCGATATCAATAGAGATCGACGATCGACGTGAAACATATCGATATTGTGGTAATGAAGAAATAAATACGATGGCAGTCAGGACGGTTCCTTCATTTAAGTATGAAAGTTACGTAAATTCCTCTGTATAAATACACTCGTCTATTTTTCTTCTTGATATTACTAAAAAAAAAAAAAAGGTGTGTATATACAATGTGCCGGAGATTGACGTATGTTGATTAAAAAATGAGTCTTACAAAGGAGCTTTGAACGATTGTTACACCGACATCTGTTCTAAACACGTTTTATACCATGAAAGATAAATCGGAGGAAGATCGAAATAATTCTTGTACAATAATTTCGAATGAAGCAATACGACACGTAGAAGTTTGGAAAAATCTTGTGGCAGAGGTGTCATTTGCACCCAATTGAATAGCACAATGACGTAGATGGAAACGGAAAATTCGATCTAAAGAGAAAATAAACAGAATAAGTACAATAAAGAAGATCAGCATGTATCAATTACTACATCTTCGTAGTCGCCCTTTGCGAACGCTTATTTTAGGATTGATCTGTTTGACTTTCTATGCGTATTATCGCACCACCCTCTACGATGTTCCTCAGTATACTGTACCACGAAATATTAGTAAGTGTTGTTCATATGCTAATATGAAATACTAAATGATATTTCACATAGATACAATAATGAAATATATGTATTGTATGCCCTGTTTATTTCAACAATATTTGTCTGCATGTCTTGAAAAATATGTATTCTATTTAGGTCGATCTGCATCTCAGGAGATTTATAAGCAACGATCAAATGCCACTGTAGAGATTCATATAGGAGCTTTGTCCAAGAATGACTCTCCAGAATTATCTGTCATTGAGCCTTACAGTGTACAGAATGCTAATCTCTCAAATGTTGTGATTACTATACAGTCAACATCTTCTAGTTCTCAAATTGCAAACATATCAGTTGTTGTTCCCAAGCAAAATAGTGAAAAACCATCTGTTCAAATGGAAAAGATTGTGAACGAGACCAAAGCTGTCTCTGTGCTTCCTAATGAGTATTCTGCACGTGCTATTTATGAAGCTGGCCATATGGTACCAATCCCAGAAAGATGTCCAAATTTTGGTAAAGAAATGGATCTGGTAATAATAATAATGTCTGCGCCGACTCATCTAGATGCTAGAATGGCAATACGACAAACATGGGGTCATTTTGGCCAGAGAACCGATATTAGTATCTTGTTCATGTTAGGTGCAACTATAGATTCCAAAGTGGAAACAATTTTGAGAAAAGAACAGAAAACATATAACGACGTGATACGAGGAAAATTTTTAGATTCCTATTCTAACTTGACGCTTAAAACAATCTCTACTCTTGAATGGGTAGATAGTTATTGCTCCAAGGTTAAATTTATTTTGAAGACTGATGACGACATGTTTATTAATGTTCCACGTTTACAAGCTTTCACAATTAAGCATGCAAAAGACAAGAACGTAATATTTGGTAGACTAGCTAAAAAATGGAAGCCAATTAGAAACAAAAAGAGCAAGTACTATGTATCTCAAGCGCAATTTGAACATGCTACTTTTCCAGATTTTACTACTGGACCAGCATATCTTTTGTCCAGCGATATTGTACGAAAGTTGTACGATACTGCATTAGACCAAACATACCTTAAACTTGAAGATGTTTTTGTGACTGGTATAGTGGCAAATAAACTGGGAATTAAAAGGACGCATGCGAACGAATTTTTAAATAAAAAAATATCGTATAGTGCGTGTAATGTACAACGAGGTATTAGTATTCACATGGTCAAGTATAGCGAACAATTTGATCTATGGAAAAAATTACTTGATGGCAAAAGCAAGTGTAAATGATAAATAACAGCGAAGAAAGTAGGTGTTTGAGATTTGCAAATTACAATTATGTCGTTCGATAATTGGTTGAGATTCAACTATGCTCACAGTTACAGGAAACAAATAATGATAGTATTTATACTATCATTATATTATAATGATATTATCATAATATAGTAGAATCTCTTTATTATAATATTTATACTATACTGCGTTGAATCAATTCGTGTCTTTTTCTTTTTTCTTTTTCATTCTCTTTGTCAAATCGAATAAGTACAGAATTTATAATTTCAGATTATATATTCTAAATACTTTTTGCGTTCCTTCATAACAATCATTCCCGAGCATAAATAATAATTGTACGTGAACGAACAGTTTGTAGTTTCATGCTTGATCTATTCATAATATTCAAACGTCACAATCAGACAAAAATATTCATAATATACTTAATATTTTAATATCTGTAAATATACAAGAAATAGGAAAGCTTCCTACATGCACAATTTTACGCGGTCATTTCGATTAACATCTAAGTACTTATCATAAAATGAACGTCGATCGGAGGTTTAAAGCTATTTCCTCTAAACAAATACTTCTTACAAGATTTTTTGTTCAGATGTAATGCGTAGTGATCTAACATTCAGAATCAATTCTTTTCATTACGCAGTGGTATACATTTTTCCCCATTTTTCTTTTCTACAACGCAAAAGGAACGTTCAAATAATTAGCAACGTAACATTTAAACATTGTAATTCATTTAAATCTGATACATTTTAATGATAGTCAAATGAAAATAATGTTTTAACAGAAATCACTATCATATGTTTAATTATTAAAATACATGATCCAAATATTTGAGAGATACTGTAGAGATTTCTTCTTTACATTAAAAATAAAAAATAAAATAGAAAATAGCTGTACTTAAGAAAAAAAAGTTGTGTTTTAGAAAAAAAAAGAAAAAAGAAGAAAAGAATTAGACCTCGAGAATGTATACAAAACTGCGTATTTGTCGTATAAATATATACTGATATTATTGATCCACGAATTTTTATATGGCCAGACAAATGATCTTTTTTTTAAATCGTATGCACAGTGTATCATATGAGGTAATTCATGTTTTCTTATATTAAAAAAAAAAAAAAAAAAAAAAAAAACGAACGAAGTAATGATATTCAGATGAATGAAATGTACAATGAAATATTGTATGTCAGTATTATAAGTCAGTACTATCATAATATGCGATACAATGAACTTAACAATTATGATATGCCTTCCGGGATGACCAATATTGATTTATACCAAGGATCGACATATAACGGTCATCATATTGCTACATTCCATACTTTTGCTGAACTAATTACTATCCACGAACAATTTGCAGTTTATTTTTATACAATTCTATTACAAGTATTTTACGAAATTATATAATATGTGTAATTGATGCACGAACGGATATTTGTATCAATTTTTCACTAAAACAATGTTATTACTTTGCAATAATTTCTAATAATTTAACTGTGTTTCAATTTAAAATTAATACAAAAAATCAGGTACCAATGCGCTATCATTTTACAAAACGTAAATATATCTAATTTTCTAACGATATCTGTTTACCGTTTATTGATTTCTATAGAATATTATGAACCTCTCAAGTCTACCATAGCTGATAAGCCATCTATTAAAAATGAAAATCATCATCAATAATTAATCAATTTATTTGACTGAGTATTTGATTGAATTACATGTATCATTTATATCACAAGTATCATACTAGTATAATAATCATGTAATCTGAAGTGGAATTAAAAAATTAAATCGTTAAGCCGATGAACCGTTGATATAGTAGAAAATTTAATCAATTTAATACTATATTTTTTTATTTATTTTAAATTCGATTTTTAACAACTGGCTCATGAATAAATCTAATATTATAATCAATACACGAAAAGATTTATAAAATTGATCAAATATTAAAATTGAAATGTTCATATATATATTTATATCAAAAGCCTGAAAAAATGGGAGAATCAAAAGTCACAATTCAAAAGATTATTAACCTTTGAATATATATAAAATATATTACAAATATTTCAATATGATATATTGTTTTATAATTTAGATGAATAGTAATTCATCCATGATTTTCTAAATATCTACTTGTTAACTGTTCATTAAACAGTTTCTTTCTTAATTTTTTTGATGTGAAACAAAGACTGTTATATGCATGGGCCAAATTTTTATTTTGTTCCTTCAAGACAATTGATAGAGAAAGATAATTTCCCAGAAGCTAAGATGGTATAATACAGCTATGTATACCTTATATAAAATGTACGACACTTGTGATCTTGTTTCTTGTGCAACCACAGTTTAATTCTAAATTAAATCTACTTTCATCTGCATTGAACATATTTTCTGCTCCAATATCTCTAATATGAGATTTCATATTATTTATAAAAGTTAAAGCAATTTTATTTATCTACATAGTATTTATGTTATTTCTTTAGGTATTAATATTACTTATCTTGAAACTGTTCAAAATAAGTTTATTCAACATTTAATATTGTTTTAAAATTTTCCAAACCTATCTCTCTATTAGCTTTTAGTGTTTATCTCTGGAATCATGGATAATAGTTTATGAATAATGATCTACAAATATCTTATAAATATACTTAGAAACATGTAATAATTTTTTTATCATGTCCTTGTGTTCACTATTTTTTCTATAAGACAATGCTAGGTAAATAAAGCAAAGTAAATAGATACAGATTCTACCCAAAAGTACACTTTGTCATTACTTTTAGAAATTCATCTCTAATTGGTTGTAAAAAAAAGAGATAAATCATTATAAATATATTACTTCTTTAGACACTAAGTGTCTACTCAGATACACTTTGAATGTTAACAAATAAACATAATATATATAATTATATGCACATATATAATATGCATAATTATATAATAAAATATCAATATATTTTTATTAAATATAAGACATGATATAATACTTCGATGTACATGCTTTCACACGCAACTATAAATTATTTACAGCAACGCTAATCATTATGCGCATGCGTATTCGATTAATTTTCAAATGTATATTTTTTCTCAAAAATAATACCCCTAATGTAATTTTGATATTCCTTAATTTCGTTTTATTTTGAATCATAAAATTTGGACAGCAAAAAGAAAAAAAGAGCATAATATACCTATATTTTATATATTTCTCAAGTTTCATGATTTCCTGGATTGAGGATTTTTCTTCGCCAATCAGGATCGAATTTTATCTTAATTTAAATTTGTATAGAAAAATTTCGAAAACTGTATAAATCCCACTGTAATCAAGCGATGTAGTTACTTAACAATTTAACTTAAAAGTATTTTTACTTTTAACTATGCAATAAGAGAAAAAATCATAGAGATCGGTTTAATATTCACGATTTCCTTGATGAAAGAGTTGGAAATTATCGGCACTCGTTTGGGCAATAACTCTAAACTCCTGGCTAACTTCAGCTTTGTTGGCTGTTTCCTGAACATATACAAGGTGGAACGCTAGTAGTATCAGTAAATTGAAAATGGCCGCATCGAAAAATCAGCGTTGGATGGATTCGGGGATTCTGCGTAAAAAGAATGGAGAAGAGGAGCCACAGGAGCTGTTGGTGTTTGGATATAGCTGCAAATTATTTCGAGATGATGACAAGGCGAAAATGATTGATCAAGGAAAACATTTGATACCATGGATGGGCGATAACACATTGAAAATAGACAGGTCCGTTTCCCTAACCTAGACAAATTTATCATCTAGGATATTTATTCTTGCATAAATGCACTGTACATGTAACCTTTAGAAG